AAATGACGGCTTGTTCTATTGGAAAATGTTAGTTTGGTGTACCTACAATAAGGATTGCGGTAGACGGTCGACTTATAAATAAATCATGAATTATACTAAAGAGAGAAGAAGTATAAAAAATGGGTCAGCGAAATACCCCAGGGCTAAGAAAATAATGAAATACACGCGGGTTTCGTTGGATTGGCATTAAGTTTAGTTTCTCTCTCTCTCTCTCTGTCTCCCTATTTTGTTGTATAATGGCCTTCTATAATTTATACGAACGATTTATCTCCATAAGAGTGAATTTCCGGGTTAAGTTTTCTTACCCTTCAATATCTGTAAAAACAGATAACATCCAAATACATTTTTTTTATATTTATATTCGATGCAGATTCACTGATTTTGGGAGTTACAAAAACTCCCGATGATAGCTTGCATTCAGCAAAATTTCATATTATTTATGTATAATACTATTGTTTAATAGATCTAAACATTTTCATTATGATTAAACTTAAGTGTTAGAAATTTTAGTGTAATTATTGATAACGTGATATACATTAAAGTTGTATATAATATATACCTATAATATAGTAGCATACACATTAATTAATTTAATTAGCTATAATTTGATTTATTATGATGATTTTATTACATACTAGTAATTTCATTAAAAATTTATTTTTGATGAGTTATCATCATAATTTAATATATTGTATATTTTTATCAATATTTGTACAATATTTTTAAAAACTATTTTAATATTAAGTGTTACATTTCAGGTAAATATGAAATAGTATAACAAATAAAAATCAACTCCATTTTATAAATCTTTTATAATAAAATGATAATTTATAAAAATTTAAAATTTATTGGATCATCATAATGTCTAAAATATTTATACTTGAAATTTGGCTAAAAATATTGTAAGTTGGATTAAATTGTTATACAGACCTTTAAATTCAAAGTCATCTTAGGCGTATATTTGTTGGTGTCCTGGGAATTGAATATTTTCGAAAACCAACATTACAGTATAGCACGTACTCGAGGTTCGGAATGTTCAAAGTATATAAGAAAGACCAGAAAAAACAAAAACAAATTGAAACGAATTTAGTTGGATAACGGGAGACGACATTGTTCTCTTGGGTGTTTGAAATTTAAGTGAAAATAACATACCTACCATTTTCTTCTCTGAAAATCAATAGTCGGTTTAAACTTATATAGATTTAAATGTGAAAATCAGAAATTCTGTTTTAAAACTTATACAAATTTCTCATTGGATGGTATAAATATGAAACAACAAAATAATATAAATTCTATCAACAATAACATTTTAGTATTATATAAATTAAAAATTAATATTTATATTCAAATACTCAATTTTTACCGTATTTGATTAACTGTTTAATTTAAAAATATAAATATAATTATATTTATGAGATGACATAAAAGATATAAGGATTTATATTGGAGTAGAAAAATATGATCAATATGGAATATGCGATTTTATATAAATATTTATAAAAGTTTTGTTCTTTGAATAAAAACTTCTATCTATGCTCACTAAAAATTTATAAGCTAGGACAATTTGTAAGTTTTTTTTTAATACCAATTTATATATAAGTAAATAAAATATTAAATTTGATGAGATATTTAATTTTCAATAAACTTTATTGTTAACATAGTAAAGTATCGCAATTGTTAAAAATGAAATATCCATAAATTGAGAAACTACATTTTGAATCATATCATAGTTGTATCATGTGATAAAAATCATAAAAATGAATAGTGATTTACGAATTTTAATTTTTTTTTAAACTATTTATGTATGTAGTAATGATATTATTTAACATAGAAACAGTGACAGCTATTATTAATACAAAATATATTTTATTAGTAATCAAACTCGTATTATGGAGAAGCAGGGTAGTTGTAGTTTATATATCTGACGCCTGTCGGTAATCATAAATAATTTGGGTACTTTGATAATATTGTATGCGCTACATTTGAATTAAATGGGTGATTAAGGGGTAGACAACGTGTTGCAAATCATTAGTTTGGACGTCCTACGATGGTGTCATTATAAAGGTTAGTATGCCTAGTGGCTAAAGATCGTGTCTGTTGGAACTACTGCCGTAACAGGTGTGGATATCTCGTCACAGTAGTCCTGATGTAATTATTTCCTCATTTAAAGTTTATTATACTTTGTACCGGTTTTTTCTAAATATCTTTCTATCAATTTTAATTAGGAAAACACTGTATACACATTACATATTACCATGTTACACATAGAACATGTGTTCTAGATATACTTTAGTAAACGAATAAAGATGCGAACAGAGTTTATATATTTATATGACTCGCGCAGAATTGGATTAACCTCCTGTTTTATACCAAGTGTACTATACATTTCAGATAGGTACTTATTGTATGATATTAGATATCAGATGGGTGTGTGACGATGTATGATGAAAAAGTGGATAAACAGTTTTTTGTGTGTAATTTGTATTTAATATTTATTACATGTAGGTATTCATGTGCAACCGCTGGTTCTAACTATATCGGAGTTGGTTAGGTTGAGTTAGGTTAGGTATGGCGAACGGATAGTAAGTCATATGTACGGATTTCATTATTGTATTTCATATTCAATTAACTATATCTGTATTTATTTATAACTTTATTTGTAACTTGTTTATTATATTTATTATAAATGCAATAGTTAATAATACTACTTTATATTTTAGAGTTCACAACTTCAAGGTATTCTAAATATCTGAAGTATCTAAAGGTATTAACATATAATTTAATTTAGTTAACGTCTTAAGGGTTAACCATTTGGTTTCCACGTAATATAATAGGTACAAATTCTAAATCGTGAATATTTTTTTTAAAATAACACGTTATTGATATATCATAAACCATAATCAACATAGTAATATTTTCTGAAAGGAAATTCTTAAGTTTGAAAAAAATTCATTTTTAATAACATATATCAGGTGCGAACGCAAGGAGGACTTTGGTTGTTTAAAAATTTCCTAAAATATCAAAAATAAAAAACGAATTACCTGACTTACATAAATACAATATGAATAGTATTATATTAATGAACATTTTTTCAACCCCCCCTCCTCCGAAATTTTTTCCTGCGTTCGCACTTGATATATACTTTAGTAACTTAGTACTGTTCTTTAGGGAGGTTGTTTAAACAGTTTTAAACTTTGATTATTTTTTTTTCCTTTGTATACATAATTCAATAATTGTAATAAAAATTATTATTATGCATATAATGCATGCATATATATTATACAATTACTGAATGTTATCGTTTAAAATTATAGAACTTAAATTAAGAATGATTAAATTAAGTTTTTTTGTAAATAAAAAGATTATTTTAAATTTATTTTAAACTAAATGCATCTATATACCTACTTACCTACTTATAAGTTATTATTAAAAATGTCGATTGTTGACATTCAATTATAAGTGCAGTTGTAATAAAATAATAATATAATCTAATTAATTAATATTATTGTGAATTCATTATAGTCAATTGGTATGAGTATCTATGTTTAAAAAATATTTTGGTGTTATTAAATTACTTAACATAAAGACAAAAAAAAAAATTGGATTAAAATACATATTTTTTATGTATTTAAAAATGTAACCATTTAATAACATAAATAAAATATTTATTTAATTTAATTTTGATATGGTAAATATAAAGTTCCAGTGTGGCATATGGCAATGTTGGCAATGTTTTAAATTGTATGTTCTTCTTATATTCTAAAAATTAAAAATTAATACATTGTTGAGATGACTGATTAAGCAGCATACCTTACAATCAGAATAATATCCTATCTAACAATCACTAACTTATCAACTATTGATATAAAATATAAAATATACACGTTTTGGCAAAATTATTGGGACTTGATTTCTTTTACTATTAAATTTAAAACAATTAAGAAAAATACAAAAAAATAACTCTTTTTTCTCCACTTCAGCAGACGACTGAAAGTAATCTTTATAAAAACTAGAATCGGATTCATTCACTCTTTTCTTATCAGAAAAAATCTTCAATCCATATGTGATTAATGTAAAATTGACCTATCGTTCACAAATAATTCAAGATTACACGAAGTACTATAAAATACAAACCAATCTTTCTGACCGTAGAACATGGAAGAAACTCTCAACAAAAACATTGCCTCAAAAATTCTTAAATTCTTAATTATAATTAATTTTATAAATAATTTCTATTGTGTAAATTCAATACCCCGATATTTAAACCATCATAAACTGTATTTTTTCTATTTTTATTTATTTATTTATATCTTAAATAATTTAGACATAATAACTTGTGATGTAGAACCTTAATTTAATATCAATAATAAAAAAAAATCTTTGTTGTTTTTCTATACTACAATTTTTATAATAATTTAAGCGATGTTTATAAAATAATCATAAAAATATTATTTGCTTTATATCGACCGATGTTAAATTATAATAATATTGTAGTACGACATCTTTCCATAAGTACAATTGACATGTAGTATCCGAGTGTATCCGACAACAAATATTTTTTGTAATTATTAATTGTATAATTTATATCAAAAATTAGGTTATACGTATGTAAAATCAAATTGATTTTCAGTGAAAACTATATTGTTTAATTATAAATGCCCTTTCACCTCTACAACAATTTTTTTTAACGTTCTTATGAAAACACTGATTACGCCAGACTTCATTATTTTAAATCATACAATCAAAATCAATTATCTATATTTTAAATGTTTCGAAAATAATTATCGTAATATTTTTATTTTATTTGTTATAGGAAATTATTAAATTAAATATTAACATTTTTAATATTATTATTAAATTTAATTTATAGAAACTAAGAAAAATACTGTTAATTAGTTATTCCGATATGCATTGAGCTATTATGTAAACATCGGTCGATTGTTGGTTACTATAGTTGCCACTATCGATAAAAGCGCACGCGGTGTTTTTAGAACTCTGACCGACAGCACATGGCCAGTAGACAGTAGTATTCGTTTTGACGCGGTCGTATATACTTTCGTGCACTCCGTCCATTCTATAAAAATACTCGTACTTCTTCGTATCCAGAGTTCCAGAAATTTCAAACAAAAAAGGTAAATAAATACATTTTCCATTAGAAAAATTCTTCTTTAATAATAATTGTAATAATTTTAAACTAACTTAATAATCATATAAATACAATATTTTTTTATTCTACCTATATACATTTTAAAATATTTGTTTATTATACTTAAAATATATTAAGACAAATTAAATTCCTTAATAATCTATTACAAATAGATATTTAGTTTTATAGGAATATTATAAATATAAGTAGAAGCTCATTAATTCACAGAAAAAATACCTAAGTACCTGTTTATTAAAATTATTTGTTTTCAATTTGCAATCAATCGAATATTTTATTCAATATTTAAATATATTATTTTGTCAGCGGTAGTAAGCTATAAATGCATTGATTTTACAACGATGTGATTTTATTCTTTTTTTCTTTTTTTTTGGTCTGACATCACCTTTGCAGTAAACATACTTAAACCTTAAACTTAAGCTCTTTTTGTTTTATCTATAAAAATGTTTTTTAAATTAACAAATATTAACATTATTTTAAGTAAAAACAAAAACTTAAGAATTTAATTCAAAATTAATATATTTTTCTTATAGTAATTAAACATTAGAGTAATTAAAAACTCTAATAAAATTCATCAAAATTATTAAAATTTGTAAACTATTCACATGTTACTAAAAATGTTAGGTCCGGTTAAGCGCTTGGAAATTTAAAACAGAATCTTTCATAGGTTGTACTTATAAACATTTGAAAATTTAAAATACATATAAAGAAAATACATAAGCCTAATATTTTTTATGTGTTTAAGTAAAAAATGTTCAACAACACGAAAATTTAGACTAATTTAAATAATTAAAAGGTACAACATTGTGAAAACGATAAAAAATGCTTCATGTTTTGTATAATTTCTTTTTTTATGGTTATTAGAAATTTAAATTTAAATGAAATTGAATATTTAAACCAAAAATAGTTATGTTGTTATGATTAAAAAATAAATTAATCGTAGAGACATGAAAATTTTTGAATATTTTTATTTTCTATAAAAAAACGGCATTTTAAAAATGTATACGTATTTTAAGTTATATATATAACATGATTTTAATTATACGGCGTTTTACTTTATGTGATACTAACTTTTAAATTAATAATAATAATAATAATATTTGATACACTTAATATTATAATAATTTATTATAAAAATTACCACAACGTACTTTATGACAAATAGTAATATAAACAAATTATAAAATATTCTTAAACATAAAGGCACGCTATCTCCGCTCAAAATCGTTTTTCTTATGCTATGATTTATCATTAAATTCAAATTTAACATATTATCTATTACAGTAACCCATTTAATGGAGAGGTACATACATAATTTAATATTCAGCAGAGTGATTTATCCGATTTTTTTCATTTGAGATTGGTAGATTTCGATATCTTATTCATGTTCTATTCATAATGTCATTATATTTAGGAAATATAATGCTGTAGTTTCTTCTTACTTTTTGCATCCTTTGCGTCAGCCAGTAATTCAAAAATCTTTAAGTTGATAGTTATTATTGAATTCTTCCAATGTCGTTAGTTCTGTATAGTAATTTCTACAGAGTGATAGTAACGGTTACTACTGTCCTTCGCTACTTTATTTTAACCGCCTCTCATGTAAACAGAATGTTATTGTATGGGTATATTCCTCATCTAAAGGAGGCAAAATTATAATGTAGAAAGGTGTTATTATATAAATTAAAATCTCATTTTGGTATTTCAGTTGTTTTCATTTATATATAGATAGTAGGAAGTAGAAACACGGAAATATATAATTTTTTTTTAAAGCAGTTTATTTTATTTTTATTAGTTTTTGTCTAGACAAATTAGTTATTTTTCCACAAATTATCCAGACTATACTTAATACATTTACTAATTTTAATCCGCAAATGATACAAATTTCTAACGATTAAAAATTTAAGTCAATTTTTATTTTCTAGGTATTAATGAATTAGTTTTTCTGTGATTTATACTTACTTTAGGTATGTTTATTATGGTACCTAAATTTATCAAAATCATTTATTGTCTTATAAATTTGATTTTAAAATATTACACTTATATCATTGTAATATTTTTAATACTTAAAAAAAATATTAATATATTAAACATTGAATAAAAATTTAGCATACACAAATATTGTGAAATTAAAATAATTTTGTTTGATAAACTATAATAATACTATTAAGTACAATATTAAACTTAGAATCTTAATAGACTTAAAAACGGTTTTTGTAAAACCTTACTGGTTAAAGTTTTTGTTTTATAAATATAGGTATTTTTAAAATTGCAATATAAGATATGTATTTTATCATAAATCTTTAAACGATATTAAACAAACCGAATATCCTAATATGTTTAAAAACATTGAGATTTACTCTTGTGAAAATAAAAATTTATCGTAGTTTATTTAAAGCAAGTTGCTTATTTATTTATGTAAAATCATTTGGAATGTAAAACAAAATATTTAGGTTTGTGGTAAATAGAAAATACAATCAAGTACTTTAACAAATTTTTATTGTTTTTTTACTCGAATAAACTTTCGAAAGATAATAAAAAACTCTCTACCTGATAGGTGCAGTAAAGCAAAATATTCAGTTTTCTTTGTTAAACTCTATATCTACAGGCTATCGAACACAATATGTTATAGTTTTTTAATAAATATCCTAAATAAAATAAGCTTAATGACCCTCATTTTAAATGTGGAACCACTAAGTATGCATTGTAACTTACGCATTTAGGTTTCAATTTTGTATCCATTATATAAACATTCGTGTACTATAAGGTTTCGGTCGACCCTTTCTTGTTATTCTCATAATTTACAGTCACCGGTTTCATAAACACTGCCTATTCGAAATCATCAGTCTTCGTACGTGTCAATTGTCATACCAGGATTTGGATGCAATACTTGGTCTGCATACGTAATTATTCACCGAAAATCAATGTTTCAATATCATTTCCCGCAGTGATAGGAACACCATTATTATACCTACCGGAACAGAAATGGCTATAATGATTGTATACGTATAATAACTAAGTACAAACAGGTATTATATTTCGTGACATACGCTCTCCTAGCTGTAACTCTTTCTGTTGTCTTATAATAATTATACTACATTTGATATTTCGATAACTATTATACAATGCGAGGACAATAAATGATTTGATGAATAAAATAATCGCAAAACAGACGTTCTCTGTGTAATTATTTTAATTGTCACAATTGTCTCGACAATAAGTTTTAAATGAGATTTAAATTTGACGGAATAGTTAGTAGTCTTTATATATAAATACAATACTTTATACTTAAAAAAGTTATCCTAAGTTAATAAAAAATATAAGAGTTTATAAAACATATTTAAGTTTATCACTTGTATATAAATACAATAGAAATAGTTAGTAACGACATAATACAGGGACCAGTAAACATAGTAATATTTAATAAATATTTCGTGTGAAAAGCAATAATTTAATAATTAAAAACTAAAAAACCGTTAATTATGTCCTTCTGACGAAGTTTTTTTACTTCGTTAAATGTTGAGTTTTCATCTTATCACCCACAATAATATGCTAATGGTTGGTTGTAACGCTATTAAAATATGAAATGTACGTTTTACCATCAATCTCCTTGGTATTTAGATACGGTATGATGGGTTATCAGTTTTAGTCATGTTAACCGATGTTGTGGTGTAAACAATACTTTTTTGTTTTTCACACATAGTTATACGAGTGTTCTAGGTTATATACAGATTTTTACTGCGAGGTCATTATAAAACGTTATTCGTTCTGGCCTGTAAATCATTGTCGTTATATTTAATTTATATTTTGTTTGCTCTCTACCATTTTTAAACTATTATAACGTTTTGATAGGTATCCACCTATTTATTATTATTATATTCTACCCGTAGGCCGTGAATATAGTTCGGGAAATGTGATTTGACGATCGGGAAATAATCAGGTCAACGGAAGCTACAATAACAATACGATTTAGTGTGTGTGTGTTTGAGTAAAAACAAATTCCCCGAATCCCCGATATCGAGTAGGACCAATTGGAAATCCTGCCAATAACAGGTATGTGCTCACGCAGTCACGCTATTATATAACAAGTCGAACGTGTGCTGTTGTCGTGTGTGGGTTATGTGTTCTGCAAATGTGTTTAATAAACCTGTAACTATTATTCCCGAGTAATGATGTTTAAAGCAACGTATGTAACAACAGACTAACAATACGGGGTGGGTTTTAACGTGTTTTGGTACATACCGATATACGTATAATAGCCTGCGGTAGTCATGTAGTATAATATATAATGTTATTATCCAGCTCGCGTCCTTACGGATCTTGGGGACACGACGACCAATGACCATATAATGTACACACCACCGACTTCCATTAACAAGCTATCTATACAAATCAGTGTCCACCCCATTCGCTTACCACTATCATCGTACTGCTATATATTTTGTTTATTTATCTACACCGATACGCTAGGAAAAATCTCAAAACTTGTCTAAAAAGTACATTCAAAACCAAAATATTAATTTTACTGACTCGAGCATACATATTTCATGCATATTATACTAAGTTTTCTTGGTACATTCGAACACTAACTTTAATAACACTCTGGTATACTTAGACCATTCTTATAAATTATAAATGTTGACGAATTAATATTAATTACCAAAATTTAAAGTCACCATAGCACTCGGTATTCTACCTAAAAGTCCTGCGAATAAAAGTTCTGTGAAAAAAGTCATGCAAAAAAGTCCATTAAAAATCTAATATTTATTTTTATAATTGCGTAATACCTAGGTATTATTATTTTTAAATTAATATTTAATTTGTTTTTTTTATTTTGCTTAATTATATTATAAAAAATCATATAAATATAATTCTATAAGAATGTCTAAAAAATAATTCAAATTTATATGAATATATTTTATCAAATTAAAACAATTTATAATGTAGTACATATATCTAAATTTATATATA